TGAAAAAATCATTTTCTATGAACTTTACAGTCCTTAAGTCCTTACTTGTGTTCTAGTCTTGTTTGTTGATTAAGTAAATCTAGTTTGTTTCCTAGAAGCCTAGATAGACCTCAAATCGGGTTGTGTTTGCAACTAAGGAGAGGGGTGCCTAACCCCTTCCCTCCTCTTATTTAAAGAACTCTTGAATTTCTGTTTCTAGGCCGATGAAAGAGTGGAGTCCCTACTCATCTAAAAATCTGAATGGTTTAACCTAAAAAGAGGACCCACTTCCTCTTAAACAAAAATGGGTGGCGACTTTATTGGGCTATCCATGAGCTTTTTGGAGCTCACGATTAGGAAGGACATATCACATAAACTTGATTTTCTCAAGTTTAAAGGCGATGCAATTTTTTGGATAACCATTTTACCAAATAAAATATTAGGCCATTTAACAAAAAATGTTGAGTTGGTGCCTATGTGGCAATGTTTGTCTGGAACACGACAATGATTCCAAATATCCCCTAAAAGTTTTTTTAGATGAACTGCCCTCCAAATCTATTTATTCAAGGTGTTGAGTTGATGATTGCAGGGTGTGTAGTAATAACAAGGGTAGGGATGCAAACGAATCGAATCGGATTCTAATCGAGGTATATCTGAATTCCATCCGACATTGTTAATTGCAGATCCGATTTGATGTGAAGATCCAATTGGATCTGATAGACATGGATTTGAATTCGAATTTGATTGGGAAGTCGAATAATCAAATTTGATTAGATCCAATTTATTTTCTTTAAAAATTAATAAATTATTAAAATAAAAATAAAATATAATAATTTAAATAAAGAAAAAATACTTCATCATATATATACATTTTTTATAAAAAAATAAATAATATAACAATTTTACAAAAATACAATATAAATAATATATTTATAAATAAATAACATATATATATATATATATGCATTATATATACTAGGAAGTGTGCACGTGACAATTCTAGATTATGATAATGATAGTAATAATGTATCCAAAATTTCTTATAAACTTTATGTATTTTTTTATTTTATATATTTTTATTATTAATTAGATATAAATTGCAAAATCTAAATCTAATGGCATAAACACATCATCCAAATATGTGATAGTTGGATTGAGTTGTGAAGTTTCAAGTATCAATGATAAGCTTACATACTTGGCTAGAATCTTCCTTTTGTAATGCTTTATCTTTTTGGTGTATTTTTTTGTTCATTTATCAGAAAAAATGTAAAATTTAAATAGAGGGAATTCAATGAGGTGAAAGTAGTAGTTCAATTTACAATTTAAACCTCAAAATTAAATAGGGACTAAATTCAAAAATGAGTATTTTAGTTAAAAAATGTTCCACAATATTATTCATATTTTTAATAGTAGTGTAAATATAGAATTATAGATGTACTCAATTTTTTTTCTATAATTTCTTTTTGTATTTCTGCATGTAAAAATAATTTTGATATGTTTTACTCTTACTTTTTGTTTAATATGATAAATATATGATATTATACATGTGCCTGAAAGCTTTTTTTTTTGTAAAACTTATGTATTTTTTCATTTTTTATATTTTTATATTTTTATATTTTACTAATTTTATTATTTATTTATGACATTAAAGATTAACACTTTTGACCCAAAGTTGAACTATTGATCTTTGCCAAACAATAAAATAATTTCAATTTTGGTCAGTTCTAAATTATATGTATTTCATTTTCATTATCAATAAAAATAATTATTGTTTATTATACTTATTTTTAAATTTGATTAATAAAAATATCGTAAATGTGTATAATGTTTCTAAATTTTTGTAATTTTTTATATTTAAAAAAAAATCATTAGCTAACTATGACTTCATAGGTTGACCAACTCCATTTAAATGGTTGAATTGATTAGTCACCACTTGGATAAAGAATGGTTCTGTTCTTGAGTCAGTTTTAAAATATATGGATTTATATTGTTAAAAATATTGACATAGATCTAATTAATAGCATTTATTAGTGAAAAATAACTTAAATATAAGATTTAATACGAGAAAATGAGAGTTAATACCTTAAGTATAAGACTTAATGAGAGGGGATTAAATGAGGTGGAAAGTAATAATTAAAACTACATTTTCAGCCCTTAGAATAAGAGATGTACTAAATGCACAAATATAAGTATTTTAATAGCCATTAAAGCTATAATAAAATGACTTTTATACCCTTTCTCAATCAAAGAAATAAAAGGTAATTTTAATCCAAACTTTTATATATAGTAAGTATAGATTTATGTAAATAAATATATAACATATACATTGGGTCAGATCTTTTTGGATCGGATAGGGGTGGCCCAAATTTGATTCGATTTTTAATCGGATCCTATTATCCTATTCGAAGATCTGGATATAGGTGATCCAAATTTGACCAAATAGGATGGAATCGGATCTATTTGCACCCCTAAACAAAGGGAAGCACATTTAAATGAAACAGGAAAAAAAACACTATTATTCTAACAGGGACGTCAACAGATCAGGTTTGGGAAACCCAACTCAAAGCCTCTGAACCCGAACCTATCCCAACCGGTCTAAATGAAATAAAAATCCAAATCCAACTCAACTCGTCCAATCATTACAATGATACGATGTCATTGGTTCAGGTCGGGCATAAGATGGATACAACCCAATTAAGGCCCAATGCAGATTTACCACTTAACCTGATTCCCGATCCATTGATATCTTCGTGAACAATTATAAAAATGTGTAATTGATTTGGACATATCCCCAATGAGAAGAGAAGACATACCCTTATATCTAATGATACAAGACGGCCGGGGTTGTTGAATCAATGATCAAGCAAGGTTTTACGATAAAATTATAAACATGAGTGATGCATCATCATCAACACTTGCAACTAAGTTCCCGTTAGTTTTTTTTTCGGTTATTCAGCAAGTACACATTAAAGTTACAACAATATAATTCGGTCTTATTATTAGAGTAAATATGGACCGTATGGTTTGGGAAGTCGGTATTAAATTCACATTAATCTTGAAGATCTGTTTTGGCATACTTATTGCATGAAATTAATTCTTTGCGTGCATATAAATATAATTTTAGTACTGAGTCAATGGACCATTTGTCTATTCGGGCTTTCAAAGTTGAGCAATAAAAGTTTATGGGATTGTTTGATAAGTTTTTTTGAAAATATCTTTTAGTAGTTCTGACAATTAAAAGATGTATTGAGTTTTTGCATTAAGATTTGAGCAGTTTGAAGCTCGTTTGGTTAAGGTATGTTTTTAGATCTGTGGAAAGATGAATAGAAAAAAAAATGCAAAAGTTTCATTTGGAGTTTCTCTTAAATTGCCCATTTTAGACTTCTTGTGTCTTTTTGGTGCATTGGCTTTTGATGGCCATATCTACTGCAAACCAAACCGGAATAGACCGAATCGTGGTCTATCAAGCTTGTAAATAGCCAATAAACAGTGTAGAAAGATACACCAAACAAAGCATAAGTCATTTACATGGACTCATTCACACCTACCATTATCGAGGAACATGGGTTGCATCAAAAAATTAATATACAGTTTGATAAGCCTTTTTTAAAAGATCTTTTTGCAAGATTTAACATCCGAAAGACAGCCCGAAGATCATTTGGTTAAAGGTGCATTTTTCTGTGTAAAGGCGAGACTTGAACAGGTGAAAAAAGATGAAAAACTCTATTTCTAATATTTTGAAATCAAATTTCACATGTTTTGTAAGACGGTCTTTGGCAGAGATTTTTTTTTTTTCAACCAAACAGAAAAAAACTGAAAAGTGAACTGTTGGACTTTTAAAAACGTATAGCCCATGCGAAAAGATACACGAAAGGAGGTCTGAGACAATATTTAAGTTGGAAATGGAAGAGATTGAATTTGTCAAATGGGACAGTGCCCCTCGACCCAAGTATTTGATACATTGGTTGATACGGCTGATATGTATCAATTTGGGAGGCTACTGACACACCGCATAGGTGATAGGTGGATTTGCTGAAACTTTATTCCATTCCGATACTGCATCTTCATCATTTCCCACCCAAAATGTAGTTTTAGCTGGCTCCACACCCAAATAGATGATCATGGATGGATTGAACTGGGTTCTCGGTCTATAATTTTAAATTAGGAAAATCTATAATACCGGAAAAACAGAAGGATTTTGACCAATAATTTGATGGAACCACATTAATCTTTTATTTTATGATAGCAGTTGTTTGGTTGCAAATATTTCCTGTATCATACCTTTTAAATAATAAGTATAAGATTTATGTTGACTTTAGATATTATAAAATATTATTCATAATATGTATTAATATGCACCATATTATAATATTTATAAAATACACGTATAATTGCAGGCCCGGGCTGGGCCGGAGAGAAAATGAGGCTCAAGTAGGTCGTGGTTCACGAATAGTTCCGAGGGATGAATGGAGTCACAGTTTCAACAGATCGGACTGGACTGGACTATTCGTGAAGCTCTCCGTCTCCGCTCCAGTTGTCGGTTTTGCCGCAAATACAAGATTCTTCTGTGGTCCATTCAGCCGTGGGGCGTGGGCCTTAATATATTAAATTTTAATATAAACAATAGCTGTATTCGACAAATGCATCAACCATAATCAATTAGACAATTACCCACGGGCCACGGCCCAAATCGCAAGTTGTCGAATTTATAGGTAACGGTAGGTAGGTTCCCGCAGTCACTTCTCACTTTTCAGTCAGTTTCAGCTAATTTCCAGGAAAAAAAAAAAAACACCCACCAAGTCTTGCATTTTAAATAAACAACGCCACAACTTTTATTCCCAAATTGTACTTTTAACGACCACACTGCATCACATAATGCTGAGAGTTAATTAGGTTAAATACGTCCTTTCCACCTACAAGTTACTAACAAGGACAGTTCAGTCATTTGCTTTGGGAAGAGATGAAGAATAAAACACTACATTATTGGACTGGTCGGTTCGAGACAAAAATACCAGATCTCTCCTTCTCGTATTCAAGGTGTCCAAACGCAAAATTTTGCCCCGTCATCCACCAAGAGCCGCGCGTGAATTTCGCCGCTTAAGTATCCGATTCCGCTTTCTTCTCCTCTTCTACCGTTCCCGGAAATCTTTCTCTTGCTTTTACGAAAACTTAGGAAGCATTTCGCCATCCCTGTCAGCTTCGTCACATTTCTGATTGCTTCTTCCTGGAATCTAAACGATATTCCTTAAACTTCTCCATTTGCAGAGCTGAATTTATTGTATTTACTCGTAGTTAGAACTAGAAGTCGGTTCCAACTAATAAACTAGATCCGTATACGAATCTGTATCAATAACTATTTCTGCTTATCTGTGATTCAGATTTTCACAATAGTATTGCTATTTCGAGCCTTCTTTACTATGTCGTGCTGGCACCTTGAGAATTTGGTGAATTACGAATGTTGCATAAGGATTGAGGTTCGAGTTTTTCTTCCCATCAGATTCAATTAATGCAGAATTATTTATCTTAATTCTCCGAGTATTCCGTGGTACCTTCTCTGCCATTACATTGACCTTCATGGTAAATATATTATATATATATATATATATATATACATAAATGACAATTTCTTTTCGTTTATTCCTTCCCCATACCTCTCTTTTTCCTCATATAGATCTATCTGTCAAGTAATCTCTGCTCTCATTCACCGATTTCACAATTAGATCTTTATTCCATCTCCATTCTCACTCCGTCGGCACTCTTTTAGTAAAATAAAGATTTCCTCGATTCTCTTTCTTTATATAAATTGGCACTTTCTTAGTTCCTTGGTTCTCTTCCATTATCTTCGTCTTACATTAACCCAAATTCGCTCTGACGATCCGTTTTTTTTCCTTAATTGTCACCTCAAGAAAAAAAGTGCAAAAAGAAAACTCCAATTCGCCAGCAAGAATCATTTATTTCATTCGATTATCAAGGTATCCTTTTTCTTATCCTCTTTCTTGATTTAAAACCATTGGGAAGACCTGTGACCAGAGAGAGAGAGAGAGAGAGCGCTGTTTAATGAAAATGGCAGCAACATCAGTACCAGTTTTACAAAAACCGCCCGGCTACAGAGACCCAAACGCACCGCTCCCATCCGTCAAAAAGCCACCACAAATTCGGAAACTACCTCCATCGTTCTACCCTAAAAGAAGACGCAGAGGTTGCTGTCGACTCTGCTGTTGCTTCCTCTGCATTTTCATCTTCACTCTTGCCTTCCTGCTGGTCCTCGCCGGTGCGCTTTTTTACGTCTGGTTCGAACCAAAACTGCCGACGTTCTACTTACAGTCATTCAAGATCCCTCGCTTGGATATCTCCGTTAAACCTGACGGCACGTACCTCGACTGCCAAACGGACGTTAGGTTCGAGGTCACCAATCCTAACCACAAGATAACGTTCAATTATGGTAGAAGTCAGGTTCGGATGACCGTTGGCGAAGATGACGTTGCTTTAGGATCGGCCTTCATACCGGGGTTTAGGCAGGAGCAAAAGAACACCACAGTGTTGAAGTTTGGGACACAAGCGAACCACATGTTGATCGACGACAACATCGGCACGAAGCTGAAGGGTGGATTCCGAAGCAAGCAGTTGATGGTTTTCGTGGAGGTTCGGACTAGGGTGGGGTTAGGTTTGGGGGGATGGAAGATGGGGATGTTGGGCATAAAGGTTCTCTGTGGGGACGTGAGCTTGAAGAAGTTGGACGGTGGTGCCATGCCCAGATGCAAGGTCAATTTACTCAACTGGTGAGTTATCTTCTTCCTCCTTTTTTTTTCTATTTAATATCTCCATGCATTGCATTCAAGATAGGTTCGAAAAAATTCTAAAAATGCCAAAAAATATAGAAAAGTATAAAGTACAAAATGGATGAATATTTGTTTTTCTTTTTCCATCAAACATCAGTAAGAAAAAAATATATATATATATATATATATATTTCTTAATTTCTTTCACTTTGGCCGGTTCTCACAGTCGTACTTAACGGTCCATGATCGGGACAGTTTAGTTTAGTTTTGCGTGTAGTCATGACTCATGAAGATGGTTATATCTTAGGGTCCGTTTGCTTTGTAGTGGGAATCAGAATCGAAATCCATTAGAATCCGGATCAAAATGGTCTATTATATTTTTACCAAACGTTTGGATTCTGATTTCGATTCTAAGGTGTAACACGAAGAATCTCGAAGAGATCACCCATCCAGGTACATTAATTCAAGAATCATAAGCAGCATCTGATTAGGCCCGGAGATTGGAAGGCGGTAGTGTCCAAAGTCCAAACTTCTTGAATTGCACGAGTCGGGATGGATGTGCAGCAAATGCAATAGTTCTCCTACACTTTCGTTCAGTATGGGACAGGTGTTGTATTACATGTGTACTTATTCCAATGAGATAATACATGCAGTGAGACATGTGTCAGAGAACGAATGGGAATTGAAGGAAAAGAGCAGCTCATCCGGACTCGTAATGATAATGCTCACAAGAAATTTCTGTTTATTTGGAAGGCTGCGAACTATGACCATAAAAGCAAAGGAAATGGAATGGGAAAAAGACGAAAAGGAATAAAGCTTTGTGGGTGGCTGAGATTACCTTTGTCAATTCATTGGTTCAGGCCTATTACAATCTTGGAGGGAACCGGGGAAGGTATTTTGGATTACTCCATGTGTGGGAGAATTATGAGCACGAATGCATTATGCCAACACCGCGTGGCTGGGCGTGGTGGTCAGTATGTAGGACAAACTGACAGCAAACAGCCGGAGCACTTCCTTAGGAATGCATCCGGAAATAGACGGGGGTCTTTGTTGATAATAATATTACTATTTCTCTTTCCCCCTTTTTTGTTCGTTTCTCCTGCTCATAATAATAATACTCACGTTTTTTTTTTTACCTAATTAGAGGGGGGTTTATTTCTTTCCTCTACCTAGCTTATCCACCCTATGAAAAGAATTGGGCCTTGATTTAGGCAGAAGGGAATGGTAGCGATAGAGGTTGGTCTGTTTTCCTGTTTGGCTTCTTTAGTTCCCTCTTGTCCAATCCATGAATCCAATAACCCGCGTATCTACAGGCTATGGAACTATGCTATCTCACATAAATCCGGCCCTTTGTTTTTTACTAAACTCTGACTCACTAGTTCAACTATTTTAATATCAAAAAACTCTTAATACTGATTACTGAATATACACATCCTACCCATATATATGGAACATATCCAATAGGTAAACTGGGTTCCCAACCTATATTATGCCAATTGTCAAAGATACACTTATATCCAATATATGAAAAAAATAATGAAATTTTAATCTTAAGACATTTTTTATACTTTTTTATTTTTTGAAAAAAAAAATATAATATTATAGTCTCATTTTTGTTTTCAATTAAATTATTTACTTGGATAATTGCATTTACCTGTATTCTTTATTCTCCAAATAATTTTTTTTCTTCTATTATCATTTTTATTCTTGTACCTTTATTTTTAAAACTTGTTTAATAGGCATTTTTGTCTAATTAGCATCTTTCCCCCTATATAAGAAAATTACCCACTGAAGAAAAGGATAAGAATTTTTCGAATAAGTGGCCTAAAAACCTTCCTTGGAGGGATATGAATGCAACTTAATTGGGCAGGCTTTGGTTAGACTTTTGTCAAAATTTGAATGAACCCAATCCAAAACCAAGTCTGGAACAATGCAAAATAGTAAGTCAAGCCAGCCCAAGTTGCACCCCTATATATTAAGGCTCAGTTTTGATTTGAAAAGAGCACAAATGCAAATATATACAGTACAAATACATACAAAAGATAAGGTTTTGCACTCAAGGAGAAAATGCCATTACAGTGGTCTCGCATTGGTTAAAATGCAATAAGAAAAATGAAACTTCTATTTCTGGCATAAGAAATTAATAATGAACAATGGTACTTTGTCTTTAAAAAAAAAGTTGTATAATTCATTTATTAAAAAATTTAGATGCATCTCGCTAACCTAGCTTTTTTTTTTTTTTCTCTTACTTGCTTCCTCTTGCCTCCTTTATTTTTCTCCTCCTTTCACGTTGTTTGGGCACACTCCATTTTCTCAAGTGGGACACAGATGATTGATTACACAGCATCTTTTATTAATTTCTTTATACAATCAATTAGGTTGTCCTCTCCTTATCAAACATGTGTGACCACCACCCTTTATTTTGAGGCGTCATTATAGATTAATCCCATTGAACCATACATATTGCATTTGTGTATCTGGATGGCACTTAAATAATTTATTGCTATTTTGCAGGATCAACATACACTGACAAAAATTCATACATTGCAAGGATGAAGCAACCCAACTATTGTCTTATTGAGCAGATAGAGGCTTGGTTTTGGATTTGGTTGTGATATGTATATTCATTTTTCTTATTTTATTTTTTACATATTTTCAATTTTTATGGGTCACAAAAAAAAAAACAATATACTAGAGTTGTGCTCGTTTAGTTATGTTTTGGATATGATTAAACTCATAGTAATTATCCTTTTTTTAAGCCATAAAAACTCATACTTATCATTCTATCTACTCCCATGCACGAATAATCAACTCTCTAGACCTAACAGCAGCAGAATGGATTGGTTGGGACTGAGAATTAGGCTGTAAGCTGGTCCTGAACCGCCGATTAGGCTGACAATACGATAAAGGATATTGTGGGGGGCTTGGGGGCTGAGTTTTGTGAAGGAGAGACAGAGTAAAAGACTATATAAATCTTTATTTGTGGCTGGGTTTTGGACCGTGACATGTACTCTTTCAATTGCAACCTTTTGGTCCAATGTGGCATTTTGGTCAATACACCAAGCCAAGTGCCGTGATCGAATTAAATGACACGTTGATGCTGTCTCATCCAATCACACGGCTGTTTCGAATCCTGCCTGCTTCACCGACAAATTTTTTCTTCCTTTTTCACTATTGTTAAATAATGTTTCTTTCTTTCTGGTAGTAACTAGGAAGTTATCCTTATTTTGAACTGTTTGTTTTTTCCCTACACCGGAAATTAAACATGTGATGCAGCCCATAACATAGTTACAGCCTTCCAGGCATTACATATAACCCTCCGTAGGCACAAAATATTCTTGGCATTTTTGGTGTAACCGTGTAACTACATCAGAATCAAATAAATAAACTATTAATCACTCTGAACAATTGATTTTTTTATCGATCCTTGTAATATCCATAGCCTATTTGTCAGTAGGGCTCACCAAAATTTGAACTCGAGCTTGTGATTGGCGCTCACCGGCCGAGAAGCTTGTAAATGTGGATAGTGGATGGAGGAATTCAAATTCGTCACATTTTTTAATGATTAAATATGTTGAGTCGCAGTGAAAAACCTTGAACGGATGTAAAATTTGTAATTAGTATAGTTTTGCTTTCTTTGCTTGTAATTATGCTATTCGAATGTAAACTTCGAACTTTTTATCTTAATTGCACTTTTTGGCAGTGCAAAAATTGAGTCAAAATTTTCACCACCTTCCACCTGCCTCCATTTTTTCCCATGGACAACATCATCTTTCATCCTACCTTACTCCTATGATAACCTTCCTCCTACCTCCATTTTGTTCCATTTAATGTGATCACTTTAGCTTGCTTCCTATTTTACTTCTCACAAACAAATAGAAATAAGACAGTCAAATCTGAAACAAAAATACACTAGATTGTATATCCAACCCTTTTACACTCCCATGCATTTATACTACAACCAAATGCAATATGCAACTATTATTTATTATATTTTATTAAGGGTAAAAGACTTGAACAACACTCTACAAAACTAAGACTGGGCTCAATGAGATTAAGATCAAAAGCATAAGCCCACATACTCCACCCATCCACAGAGAAGAGATGTGAATGTTAAATTACATCTCATATGTTAAAAGGTATAGAAGGGAAAAATAGAATTTTAAAAACTTTAAATGAGTTGATATGTGAGGTTCACGAGTAGAGGGTATGTTTAAGCCCAATGGGGTCCGGTCCAATATTTAAGTCTATTTAAAAAAACTTAGGATAGATTTAAGTCAATCTATGAATACTCAGGGTATGTTAAAATCTTTTACCCTTTTGTTAAATGGATAGTGTGGATTTATAATAGGTCTTAGTACCCTTTGATGCCAACGGAGTGTATTATTGTCTTTATTAGTTCAATGGGCATACATGGGAATGCCCAAACTCAATGGGCATGGAGTGAATTTACTAAAGCTAAATGCATTGGGGGGTTGGGCTTTAAAAGTCTGGAGATTACAAACAAATGTTTGTTGATGAAACTTGGATGGCGTTTCCTTAAAGAAACAGAAAGTCTATGGAGTAAGGTCCTAGGAGCAAAATATCTATCACAAGGATCCTTCTGGGGTGCAAAGAACAGTCCAAGTAAATCAACCATTTGGAACACTCTCCTTAGATGTCGCCCTCTGCTGTTGAAAGGAGTTAGGATTTTAATCAACTCAGGGTGGGATACCCATGTCCTTTTGGACCCTTAGACTTTTCCCCCATTGAATTGTGGTCACATGGTGAACAATGCCAAGGCTGAAAGTTTAAAGGTTGCTAAGCTTATCAATCCTCTTACTGGCACATGGCATTTTGACCTTGTTGAAAACCTGTTTAAAAGTGAATTTATACATTCATTTCTCCAAACTCCATTATCACAAGGTCATGAGCTCATCTCAGATAGACTGATTTGGACTTGCACACCTTCTGGGATTTTTATTGCTGCTTCGGCTTATAAACTTCTATCCTCAGAGGATCCAGGCACTTCTTCCCAAACTAAAGCCATCCCTGAGGTAAGCTGGAAAGTATTTTGGAAGTACAAGAAGCTCCCGCCACGGGTTCATGTTTTTTTGTGGCGTTGTATTAAGAACACCTAACCTCTTGGCGCAACCCTTGCAAAGTACTGTCAGGGAGTAAACTCGACTTACTGTGTGTGTATGGAAGCTAATGAAACAATGTCAAATAGATTTTTTCACTGCCCTGCCATGAGAGCAGTTTGGTTTGGTCTCCAAGTCCAGTTGATTGATGTTAACTCCCAGCATGAAGTCAAGGATTGTTAGCAACTTGCTGGACTGCAAACAATAATCACCCACTTCCAGGGCTTGACAATTTCATTCTGGGGTCTTTGGTATTATGGTATGCCTAGAAAGCTTGCAATAAAATGGTTTTTGGGGGTAAAAAATTTAACCCCGACTCAGGAGGAAATTTTTACATGGCCAGAGACATAAACAGTGAATGTAGTACCTCAGAACAGATCGAAGCTCTAGCTTTCCTTGAGGGCATCAAGCTGGCCATTGAATTACAGATCTCTTCCATTGTTCTAGAAGGAGATGTGCAAAAGATAGTCTCTCTCCTGTTGAACCCCTCCTTAGTGGTTCCCTTGCGCATTCACCACTTGATAGTCGAGTGCAGGAGTCTTTTGCGAATGTTCTCTCACTTTTCTACCTCATTTGTCTATCGTACGGATAATTGTGTGGCTCATTGATTGCAAAAAGGGCTTGTTCTTTATCTAGGCCAAAGACTTGGTCTACTCCACCTGATTTTCTAATACCTGTACTATTGAAAGATGCAATGAGATGATTCAACCTATGGGCTTTTCAAAAAAAAAAAAAGGCTGCAATTGGGTTGGGTTAGTTTTAGGCATGATGTCAATGGAGTCCATAAATCCAAGACTTACTATTATTTTTATTTATTTGGATGATTTGTTTATTAAACTGGTAACCTAATAAGACGCAGATCTAATTCCATCAAGGTGGCGTTTGTCAAGTATTTCCATGTGGACTTTTGGGCTTCGGCAAATTTGAAAGACCGAAAATTGTTTTTTTTTTCCATTTGATAACCAAAAGCTGGAAAGATGAGAAGATGTGTGTGTGGAAAGACCCAAATAGACTGAAAACACCAAATTTCGGGAAGCTCCAAATGAAGCTTTCTAGTCTTCCTATGTGATATATAGCCTTTAACCACATTTTTTAAAGCCCAGTAGACTGAGTTGCTTGCGAAACGGTCTTTGTCTTTAAAGACAAGACCCCAAAAGCTCACTATGTCTTTTGGCCATCTGGATTGTTGGAAGATCTTTCTAAAAAGACTTGTCAAATGACACATTGATATGCTATTATCTTGGGTTGGATCCAAATGGCTTTAGAGGTGGGTGTTTCCAACTCTATTTTCAAGGGCAATGACCAAGTTAGAATTAGAGTTGTTCATGAGAAGGGTTAAACCGACCAAACCGGTCCGACTCAAACCGATATGGTCGATTTTTAAATATATCGGTTCAATTTTGGTTTATAAACATGCATAACCCGATTGGTCAATTCGATTTTGGTTTATGTATTTGTAAACCGAAAATAACCCAAACCGAACCGACTAAGTTAAAAAAAGGCAAAATATTCAATTTCCAATGTAAATTCACAATTTTCCAATTTGTCCTCTTTCTAGTTTCAAAACAAAAAGTTAGAATTTATATAAAAGTTGTATTTTCCAAAATTTCCTTCCTAGTTTCAAGAAAAAAAGTCAGAATTCATTCAAAAGTTGTCTCACACCATTTGAGGATTGAGCATTAATAACTTGACAGAAAAGACCAGAAACAACCAAAGCCAGGTCTTAAACTGGGACCCCTAAATGAAGGCTAGTATTCAGGTGGTGCTCCTCCCTTGTCACCGAACTCACCAGGAGGTCCTCGGGGACCTCCACGGTATCCATCACGATCACCAAATCTAGGTCGGTCTCCCTTAAAACGATTTGGGCAACGTGGGTGACCTCCGAGAGGTCCCATGGGCCTATCGGAGTACTTAACAGATTTCTTCAATGTGGCGGGGACAATCTCCGAAGGTAGGTTGAGGTAGGTTCGGAGGATTTCAATCTCATCATTGGTGAGATACCAGTAGTAATGCATCATTTGCAGTGGATTGAGACAAGGGAGGTTGAGGTAGGTTCGGAGGGCTTCAAACTCTTGCACGAGCTCCCGAACAAGGTCCCGGCCTGGAAAAGGCATTATTTTGTGGTTCGTAACATTGAGGGGTGGCCTTTCCCAACCCATTGGCAGGTAGCCATCCAGGACCCAGGTGTCCAGTTGGACCTAAAGACAAGGGGGGCGCTCAGATCTTGGGCGGAGCTCGGCTTAAAGTTCTTAGACTTTGTGACCGAGGAGAAGCTCATGTAGGCCGGTCTGAGTCCTGGTAGGTCGTTGTTTGTTGTGTTTCCTTTGTTTTATTTCGGTAATGTTTCTGACAGTTCATTTTTGTTGCAGCTATCATGGACATCCCCGCGATTGAACTCTTCGAGAATATGAAGAAGGGGAAGAAGAAGCGAGCTTCAGAAAGAGCTCACATTGAGTCCTCGTCGGCTGCCATTCCAGAGCCCGAGCAGCCATCCATCGCCGGATAACCTCCTGTGATAGACTTGGTCGAGGAGGAATCTGGCAAGCTCTCCCCGCCCCGCGCGCCCAGGAAGGTGATGTCTTCAGAGCCCACCC